GAGAACATGTTGGACTTTTTGCCAATTTGAGTTTGATGAAGATAGACCCAGTAATTAGAGAAATTAAACAAGGTCAGTAAATCTGCAATCTGGCAGTAAAGCAGCACATTTTTTTACCATTGACCTCCACCTTAATTTTAATTTATTGATACTTTGCAGCTGTCATCAACATTCCCAGTGAATGTGACGCTAACTGCTGGCACTGCCCTGTCTGAGGCTTTTTTATACTTCAATTTGATATTTCTTTTAACTTTTGCATGGCCAGTCTGACCAGAAAGACCTTACTTAGTTATCCAGAACATCCAGAACGCTGCAGCTCGGGTCCTTACTTGAACTAGGAAGCACGAGCACATCCACACAGTCCTGTGCTCAGGTCTCTGCACTGGCTTCCTGTGGCTCAGAGAATAGACTTTAAAGCAGCTCTGCTTGTCTACAAGTCTCTCCATGGGCGAGCACCAAAGTACATCTGTGACATGTTAGTGCCATATGAACCATCTCACACTCTGAGGACCTCAGGGACCGGCCTCCTGCTGGTGCCCAGAGTCAGGACTAAACAAGGGGAGTCAGCGTTTCAGGTTCATGCAGCTAAAACCTGGAACAGTCTGAACATGTGAGACAGACTCTTCTGTGACACTGTTTAAATCCAGGCTCAAAACATTTCTGTTTAACTGTGCATATAACTGAAAGGTTTTCATTCCGCACTCTTCTCTCCAATTTATGTCTCTCTTTTTTAATTTTAATCTTTATGATTATTTGTGTTTTGATTTGTTTTCATTATGATTTTAATGTATTTCTCATTCTGTAAAGCACTTGGAATTACTTTGTGTACAAATTGTGCTATACAAATAAACTTGCCTTGCCTTGCCTTAGTTGTAATTTAGTTGGAAGTGAGCTGATTTGTGCTTAAGTCTCTTACAGAATATTTCAGTTATTTACTGTCACCGTTTTGTTGAAAATCAAACACCTAAACACGACCATGAATGATCATATTGACCTACTGTATGTTATGTAAATCCATTTTGTATTTTTTTCTTGAGTTTTCTTAAAACATATTTTGGCAGTGTTTCCTAATGTGTGCATTGTGTCATCATGCTGAACATTCTGCCAAACACATAAGTAAGTCAACAGAGCAGAACATTATTATTTCACTCCATACCCAGTGATGGTAAACTACTATTGCAGCCACAGCTGCCCTGGGACAGACTGACAGAAGCACAGCTGCCAATCTGTGCCATGGGCCCCTCTGACCACCACTAACACTCACGCAGACTCCACTTTCATATTAGGCGATGTAGGTGAAGAGTCTTCCCTAAAGACACAATGACAGTTTTTGCCACTGGCGCCCCACTGTGGCACCTGATTTTCCCAGAGGTCTCCCACCTAAGTACTAACCAGGCCCAGCCTTGAGATCTGATGAGATCAGGCTTTGACAAGCTGGTATGACCACATACATACATGCACATAGAACAACCCCAAGTCACTGCAAACTATCAAGATGAATACTAAAAAATCTTGTGATGTAACATCCCAATCTGTAACAATTCCAAAATTATGTAAATGAAAAGATGCTCACACAGTTTGTAAATCCTGTCTGATGTGTGTGTGTGTGGCGGTTTCCTCTATGCCACAAGTTGCTAATGCGGTGATGTCTGAATTTATAGTGAGATCGGAGCCTCGGAGAACCTGAGTCATAACTTGTCGTAATAGAGAGGAGGACAGCAGGAAATAAAAATACTAGGGTGGCGCGCTATAGACAGGCCAATCCCATCTCTCCAGATAGCGTCATGAATTATGTCAAGCGTTCACTGGAGCATTGACACACAGTAAAGAAGTCACCGCTCCAAGAAAATACCGACCATCAATCACACGGGCTGGTTTGGTTATGTTGTTTTTCAGATGGTCCATGCTCCTCCACCAGTACTATTGTAAAATGTGACCTATACATCTGTCTTTTTTCCTGATGGCTACTTTGAAATCAAGTGAAACATATGCCACATATACCCCCCTCCTAAAGATAGACAGATACACAGTTGCATTTACTTGAAAAACTAAAGAAACTGCACTTTCACTCATATTTCTGTTGAAGTAACAGTACTTTTGGTTTCTTTTCTACCATGAATAAAAAATAAATATTACAGAGATGTTCAACAAGGTCAGCATATCTGCAATCAGACAATAAAGCAGCACATTTGACCACAGAACTTCAACCTGTCCTCCAGCTCCATTTTAAACTATTGATACTTTGCAAACTGAGCTTTATTTTCATACAGTCTGACCAGAAAGAACTGACTTAGTTGGACTTACAAGTGAGCCGATATGTGCTGTTAAACAAATCTCTCAAATCTAAAATTACATGTAGTTCTCATTTACATTTACTTGAAAAACCTTGAAAATAAATAGCAGTTTTACTTCTGCATGAGTCATATTTCTATTTACATGACAGTACTTTTGGTTTTTCTTCTATCACGAATAAAATATGTATGAGCAAAAGGACATCTGTGTTTCTTGCACAGCTCCATATACTTCAGTAGTTCTAAAGTTTTTGTCTGTTCTTTGGGCAAACCACAATCTGAGCAATCTTAGCACTCCAAATGATAGATCAGATGTTACATAGACAGTTTCTCTGACAGTTACTCTTATTTTCAACTTTCACAATTACTTCACAACATGAGTCATTTCTTGGACCACTGCAAGAAAATATTTATTTATTTGGGTGAATACAATGATCTTCCATAACTTTTTACTTCTTCTTCTTCTTTTTTTTTTTTTTGCTTCTTCATCCATTTCTGATCTAGAGACAGTCTGTTTCTGTTTACTTTGGTGCTGTTTAGGCTTTGACAAATGTAAAAAATGTTTGGGACATAAGAGACAATATGCAAAAAACATAAGACCAGAATTCCCAAACCTTTGTCTTACTTTTGAGTATCTAAAATTGATTGGTGTTGGTGGTGATTGATGGTGATTTGGTGAAAATATGATATATTGTAAGGGTGTTTAAATGCATTGGGTTTAGTAGTTTAGTATATTATTGTTGAAAATGTGCTCATCAACAATATTGTCTGCATGGGCCCAGTCACGTTTAAAGGAAATGTATGTGGCCTTCACTCTCACTGTTTTGAAAAAAGGTATTACAATCCCAACTAAACTCAAATTGTTTAAACCTGAAGACAACACAGAGGACACATGCACATTTTTTTCAATATATATAAACTCAACGCCTCCAGAATTCAAGCACTGAGCTGTAGGGGCTGCACTAACACAGATGCATGATGGGATGCAGGTGCGGAGGTGTAGGTAGTGACCATTCAGACCAGAGAGAGTCTTTTTATGAATTATCATCTGGGTTTCAGCGTTGAAATGGCAACCCTAATGAGAAACTCATGCAAGGCTCATTCTGCTTCCTGATTGGAGAATCGGCTCGAGAACCAAAACATTAGTTATAACCATAAACTGTACAGTCTATGATTCTATGACAACATAAAGGACGTGAAAATCATGTCCAGTGTTTTGTAGGCTAAGTAAGAATAAATCAGCGAAATTGTTATCAGTAAAAGTTATTTGATTTGAACACATTTACCTATGTATGCTATGTATACAGGGCGACCAGACGTCTGTATTTACCCGGGACAGGCCCAGTTTTGACCCCTATCCCCATAGATTTATCCAAAACTATTGATTTGTCCCAGTTTTAATACAAGAAATATCCCAGGTGTCACTATTTTTACCAGTTTGATCCCTCAAACAGTAAAAAGAGGCATACATTGCCATTTGTTTGGGTAAAACACAGAAAAGCTGCTTAAAAATGACCAAAGCACAAACAAAATGTGATCCTGACACACATGTTAGTCATGAATGGGCCGAGTGCAGAACAGTTTTCATTAATTATGCACTCGTTTCACAATTTTATTATTACCAGCCACCTCAGACCCCAGTTTTTGATGCATATAAATAGGTCAAGATTATGGAATTATGGATTACATGCAGTTTCTTTAAGATCTATAGACCTGTAGAATGTACAGAATGTAATATTTTTTTCTTCTCGCATAAACCAACTAACATAAACTGCATAAACTAACGCATGTAAACTTCTATTTTACGCCTGTTGACAGTAAGCTGACAAACGGACGCTAAAAGTAAACGCAGCGTGGACCTTGTTTGGCTGTATAAGCACATTCTTGAGTCAGCGCGAGCAGAGGGCCCATACGTTCAACTTGTGCAGAGCTCCAACAGCTGGCCGCTTGTCCGCTCCCCTCACGTGCGTAGGCGGGGCTTCCTGTTTCTAATTGATGGCTTTTGGGTCGGGGCTTCGGGGGTGTAGCCGTCCTCTCCTTTCCCGGACAGCTGAAGTTCTGGGCGAGCCTCTCATGGCGTCACTCCTCCAGTGGGCCCTCCACGTGAGCCCGCACAAGATAGGGGCAAGATAGGAGGAATTGGGCCATGCTTACACTATAGCAGACTACACTAAGAAGGCAGTGCATGTTTAAGCAGGAAAATTGTAATTGCAATGCTAGTCATGTTACAAATTGGCGTATCGTGTTGACGGCTGCACCTTGTGACACAGAAGGATACAGCAAAAGTAAAAAAAAAGTGAAAAAGTGAATTATAATTAAAAAAAAAAAGAAAAGCTGAATTATTGTTAGGCATACACCATATTTGAGACAATAATAAGATGCAGAAAGAATAGGCCTAAATGAAATGTTTGTCAGGCATAGCTAATTGCAATAAATCTGGTTTGAATTGAACACGTTTTGTAGGCCTTTTCAGTTTGGCTGCATAAAACCAGGCCAACTTCACAAAAGTTTCAGCAAATAAGTAGCTGTTGTTTTTTTTCTTAGTCCATATTAAGTAAAAAGCTGGTGAGTGTAATATTCTGGAAGTTACCCTAGTGGTGTTTGGCTGTCCTCGCCTTGCTCCGGAGCGGGCTGTTGGATTGCTGGCAGAGGAGGGCGCTTCATCGCCATGTGAACACACAAACGGGCTCAGTCTCAGCGAAGCCAGACGAGCGCAAGCGAGTGTGTGCTGGACTGGAGCTCTTTATAGCGGCCAACGCGATGTACCTCCGCGGCAGCAGCACACAAACCCTCAGCACACACCCGGAGCACTCGAGAAGACGGTTGGTGAAGTAAAACCCAGACTCTTGCGCTAGTCCAGTTTTGGGGCGTGCAAAAGTGAAAACGCACGAGTTTACGGACTCTGCTCGCGCTGGCCATCGTGGGAGCATGTTCTGTGGAGTGAATCCGTGCCGGACTTCTCAACTTTGTAGCCCACTTTCAAGGTAAGCATTTTATCTAAGTCTGTCAATGTTTCTTATAGTGTTTTATTAGTGTTCCAATAACCCGAAGCGCACAGTTTAACACTTTAACACATGCGGCTCGATCAAGTTGCTGAACTTTTGGGCATTTGCGCAGCAGCCCTCTCATTGCTCAATCATTTGTTTATGAATCTCAAGCTATTTAACACATTGGATAGTGCTGAGAAATCAACATATCTGAGCGAAACATCTCACGTTTTACGCGGTTAGGATGTTTAAAGAGTGTGAATGCAGATGCAGTGGATGTGGGGCACGCACACAGCCCGGTTACCTGACGTTTTTATGAGTATTTGGAGACGAGACACTTGACCAGCATCAGTGCAGTGTATTCAAACTTATGGATGCATGTTGACTAGAACTTGAGGGGAGCTTTGAAACTGCAGTAGAGATCACCTGTGTTGATTTCTGTAGTATTCATACTGTAATAATGTCTAATTTTGGCAGCATTACTTACATGCAACAGCAAGACATTTTAAACAACAGTCCTTAAATTTAGTTTTATGACTCACTTTTAAGGGTTATAAATTTTGCTATAAAGAAGAAAGTCTTGTAGCTGTGTCACTCAAGGTTGCTTTTACATTGGGAACAACCTCATGAGAGTTTGAAGAGAAAGTGCACGTCTTATTTCATCGAGGAGGAGCAGACAATTTTATGGAGTAATTGCACAAGGACAGGTGAAGACTACATGAGGAGCAGGAAAGATAAGAACTGTCTGCTGATACAAGTTCTCTGGAGGTGCCACGGGGATGTAGGACAGCAGGATCAATCTGAATAAAATTGCAGATTAGTCCCAGTTTGAATGGTAAAAATCAATAATCAAAAAACTGCAATTAAGGGTTCATTCACACTTGCACAATTACTAGATTGAAACTAAAACTGGAACTAAACCAAGCCTAAACCAGGACTAAACCAGAACCAAACCAACTCAGCATGGAGATAAGAAGATGGTGGAACCTCCTTATGAAAAGTTACATAGTGCACCTTTAAACAAAAAAACTGCAAACTACCACTTCAGATTTGCACAATGAAATTAATGTAAATGCTGTTTTAGTTGAGCAGTTCATATTTCAGTCTCCTCTCTAATGTGAATGCTCCTGGATGAGTTTAAAATGTGCACTCTGAACAGAATCCTTATTTCAGTACATCAATCACGTATCTCGCCACAATCACATTACCCTGCCACCGTATTCGCTGATAAAGCTGTTGATTAAATAAGACCCAAGCCAATAAATGCAACTAATGTAATCCAAATCTGATTTAAAATTGATAACATAACTCCAAGTATGACTCTGCATATTCTGTTCTGTATTTTCTTATTATTAGCCTACTCGCAGTGATATTTAGTCTAATTCATGCATATCTTCAGTAAGCCTGAATTGTCCTGAGGCTTGAGTGCTCACATGCAGATAGTAAAACATGTTGTGTAGCCATGTTTCAAGTGAAAATCTGCTGCTTGGTGACGTTTAGCGCTGCCGTTTTGAGCAGGAAGGTAGTGGACGTGTTTCTATTATTAAGCAGTTTTAAATCAATATTGAGGTTTCCATGGAACAAAATGTAAAATGAGGGTCATAAGTCCTTTTTAATATATCTATACCAAACAGGGCTGCAATGATCAATCAGGACTAGTTGACCATTTAAAAGTAATCGTAGTTGTGTTTTGATGATCATAATCGTAATATGTGAATGATACAGACTGTAGAACACATACAAAAAGGCCTTTCTGTAACAAAGATTGAGTCAGAAGTGAATAGCCAATTTTTGCTTGTGACCATTAATGCACTTTATTCATAAATATTCTCTATTTTGGAGCCTTTAGTCACAGCATTTAGTTGATAATGTATACTAGTTTTGTCATGATAAGAAAAATTCAAACTCGATTTCACTAGTAAGGAATAGACTATACTGATTCTGATAATAATAATAATAATAATAATAATAACACTATTTATTTAGAGCATAGAATGTCATTTTCAACATTAAATCATAGTATTTCCTTTTATGTTACCATGTAGTCTTATATCTGTGTAATCCCTGTCATCCAGACTTCCATAGTGGTCCATGGGCGTATACTCGTCTGTGTGCTCTTCAGATACAGCTCAGGATTAGGGGTGTTCAAAAATGTAAAAAAAAAAAAATAAAATCTATATATTGTATTGTTTAATGTGCTGATACAGTATCGATATCATGGGCTGCTGAACTGATATATCATTAAGAGTATTTTTTGGTATATTTTACCCAATAATTTTGTTATAGCGCTACAGTTTTGTTGCTTGTGTAGTGGGCGGGAAGTCATTTATGAAACACATTTGATATATTCACTGTCTTGGTGATTAAAATGGGTGTTTCATATTCACTTTCCACAAGAAGTGGTTTAACAAAGAATTTTAGTATCACAGCCACGATTTAGTCTTTATTTTTTATTGAACCATATCGAATTGTTTTGAAATATATCGTATCAAATCCAAAGTGCACTGTATCGAGATATGTATCACATCGTGGCCTATGTATCGACATATGCATAGTATCGTAGCCTATGTATTGAGGTATGTATCGTATCGGCACTTTCTTAATGATACTCAGTCCTACTCAAGATCATTCAAAACCTATTCAGGAAAGATTAATTTCTGTCTTGTGAATGTGTCTTCTTTAGTATCGATACCTGCTCAAATGAGTATACAGTTTTGACTTTAGTTTAGTTTCTGATTTTTGATACTTCTGACAACCTGAATGCATTATTTTCAAGATTCAGTTTAATCTGTCTTTTTTTCTGCATAAATAGTTGTTTTTGCATGAACTCCTGTGCAGTTGTAGTCTTGTGAGTGCAGTTTGAGACAGATACATCAAGATATGTAATAGTTTTGAGAGCTATGCAATAGAAATACTTGTTTGACTGGTCAGCTAATCAAAATCTTATAGCTGACTTGTTGATTTCTAAAATAATCATAAGTTGCAGACCTGAGCCCTATATAGCAACAAAATCCTCCTCGGCTGTGGTCTCTCTCGCTCTTGTCTGGATGCACTCTGCAGATTTGACATTGCACACACTGCTCGGGCTGCTCGTCGTCTGCAGATGTGAGTGCGCTGATGTTTTTCCAGCACAGCTCTCCTCATGCCAGCGTGCTGACTCGGACTTTTCCACTCTCTCTTATGAAATGGGAGCCGGAGACATTAGACACATCCAGGAGCCAGATCTGAATGCCTGAGAGAACACTGACACATGCACACTTCAAATCCGCCTCTGTCCGGTCTGACCCTCCTAATCTCAAAGCCTGGACACTGAGTAGACAAATGAATTTAAATGTTGTAGATTATTTTGATATAGGTAGTAAATTATGAAAGAATAAAAATCAATTATGGTTAAGTTTTTAAGAGGAAATACAATAAATAAATAGCTCTGTAGTCATCAGTCAGTAGAGTCTTAGTCGACCAAAATTCATATTAGTTGATTAATCATTTTATTAAGAACTTAAATAGGCAGAAACAGCAGAAAGGAGTGAGCGAGATAGCTGAAGATTTCATATTTTTTGGTATATATTTCTAAAAAAAAAAAAAAAGTCAGATTAAACTCATGATTCACGAGTTTATTCTACATTTATAAATGCATTGTTTCTAGGTAAATTTTTTTCCCTGCATAAATAGTAGTTTTGCATGAACTCTGCAGTTGTAGTCTTGTGAGTGCAGTTTGGGTCAGAAACATAGAGATACATAATAGTTTGGAGAGAACCCATTTTAGTCGACTTATCTTTTAGTCAGTTTCTTAAGTTGACCAAGAATGTCTTTAGTCGACTTCAGTCCTACTAGGGATGCAGCGATATTTGATATAATATCGAATTGTTCGATACTGGTATCACTATTCAATTCACGTGTTCGGTCCATAGGGACTTGGAGCTGAAATAGTCTAACAGAGGTTGGTTTTATCTTTCAGTCACATTTTATTTCATGTTGATAGACTAAGGAATTACAAAGATATTAACTTTTAGATACTTTAGAATCGCTTTTGGCTTTACATCAGCTTTAATGAAATGTGCTCGTATACTCCAGTTGTGATTTACGCAATCTTTTTCTCAGGCTCTATCTCATAAGTTTTACTCAGAAAACAGTCTGTTGAGATATTTCTATGTATATATGTTCAGTAAGAAGATGGGAGAGTGCAGTGTGTATTAAAAAAGCAGGGCAGTGTAGGCGGAGCTACTGTCTGTCTCTGCTGCTGCTGGAGATGAGGCAGAGCAGTGCCGATACGGGGAGCCCATGTGAATGCAGTGAGAGGAGAGACACACTCGGGGGGGAAAAGAAAAGAAATCATCAAATCATCATCATCAAAAAATAAAAAGTCTGATAACTCCCCTAGCAGTCTATATTAAGAGTAGACTTATTACAAAATATTAAACAGCCCAAGAAAGCACTTACATTCTTCTTTTCACTGAATAAAATTTCTAAGCTGTAAATTACTGAACCAAATGAACGAAAACGCTTATAAACTACAACTTTACAGTAGTTGTACTGTAATGCATTGTATGAAATGTTTCATCATCATGTTATTATTTTATACTCATTAGTGGGGAAAAAAAAACAAAACATGTCATGTGTCTTTTTCACGTCTTAAAATGTATTGAATCAATATCGCAACCCCTGTATCAAATTGAATCATGCGAAAATTGTATTGTTGCATCTCTAAATCTGACATCCTTTATTTTGTGACAGTACTGATGAGAACTATGACTTTCTCTGCATTCATCTTGCCCTGCTAAGTCTCCTTGCAAAAGCTCCCCACAAGTGATTTTTCCAATGTTAATCTCCAAACGTGCTGCCTCATGTTAGAAGATGAGTAGTAGAAGCAAGTACTGACGTGGTAGTAGACCTTTATTAAAAATATAAATTGTGTTTTTGTCTGCTATGTAATTATAATCAGTGACACTCATGGATTATTATCTTATATTTTGAATATTTTAAATTGCAATATTGTT